TTTTGTTCTGGGAAGGTTTTCTTCCCCACTGTTTACCCTGGAGTTTGATGCATGTCCTCCTTGCTTTTACATCCTTGTTCTCACATTTTTGTGCCCCCTGGTGTCCCCAAAGCTGGTTAATCTCTGGCCCAGAGTGAAGTGTTTCCTGTGCAACGACAGTTTCTGGGGCAGAATGGTTTTGTAATGGGGCAGGAGGCAGAAATCAGAGCTAAAACAAAGATATAATAAGACAACGTGCTTATGAAGGATAGTTGTGTGTAAGAGAGAGTGAAAGTGTAAGGCAAGCAGGAGGAATACAAATAAAACAATGAAACAAAACACAAACACATTGGTTTTGTGCTGCTCGCTCTGGGACCTGTCTGTGAGTGAGCAGGCAGAGAGCAAAGACAAAACCAGGGAGCAAAACAGTTCAGTAGATGTGGACACGTGAGGGAGGGCATCAGAAACCCAAGGAGACAAAGCAAGGAGGGCTCTGCCACCCAAACCAGCCCATGGCACGGCCAGCAGGGTGACAGTTCTGTTTGTGAAACCCCCGCACTGCTCCCAGACTCAGCTACACTCACACACACCTGGAAAACTCTGGGACGTTTCCTGCAAAAGTGCCAGCCCCAAAGCTGCTTCTGTCTGTCTGAATGCCCAGCACAAAGGTTCTCCTTTGGGGTGTGTGGCACTCCCCAGGAGCCATCTGTCCTGCACCGCTGCTCTCACCCCTCCCCATCCCAGGCGAGCAGAGGGGGCTCACAGCATTTCCAGCAGTGCCTGTTCTTCCTCTGCCTCTGAAAGAAAAAACACTTTCAATTCGCATCTTTTCCTTTTGGCTGCTCTCATCCTCTCCATTCCTGATGCCCGGGCTCTTGGGGATGCCCAGGACAGCCCAGCCCCGCTGCTGCCCCTGCCAGCCTGGGAGCGCTCCCGGGGCTGCGGGACGAGCCGGACCGGGCCGTGCTGGCCGTGACCGACCTGGCCGTGCCCGACCTGGCCGTGCCGGATCTGGCCGTGCCGTGCCGTGCCGTGCCGTGCTGCCGGGCTCTCCCGCCAGGTGGAGCTCCAGGAGCGGCTGAGGCGGCCCCGGCGGAGCTCGGCCGCGCTGGGGCTGCAGGCCGAGCCGGACCGGGCCGTGCTGCCCGTGCCGGACCTGGCCGTGCCGTGCCGTGCCGTGCCGGGCTCTCCCGCCAGGTGGAGCTCCAGGAGCGGCTGAGGCGGCCCCGGCGGAGCTCGGCCGCGCTCCCGGGAACGGCCCCGGCCCCTGCAACAGCCCGGGAACGACCCTGGCCCCGGGAACGGTCTGGGAGCGGCCGTGGGGACACCCCCAGCAGCAAGGAGCCCGCCTGTCCTCGTCCTGAGGGCTGCTGGCACCGGGCACCCAGGTCCTGCCCGCTGCCGTGGTTTCATCGTTCCCTAATTTCGTGATTTCCCCAATTCAGGACGAAATGAGCTGTGGCACGAGGATGGAGCTTTCCCCTCCGCATCCCGACCCCGTCCCCAAACCATCCATCCATCCATCCATCCATCCATCCATCCATCCATCCATCCATCCCGGAGCCAGCCAGGCCAGGCGCTCCCGCCCCGTCGGTGCAGCCTCCCGACAGCAGAAGTTCGGAGCCGCGGGATGGCGAGCTGGAGGAAAAGGGAGGATGAAATTTATTGTTTCTCTCTCGTCCCTACCTCTGGTTAAATATTTGGCAGAGGGAACAAAGCAGAGCCGCCAGTGGAAGGGGTGTGAACACAAACACCGGGGACACTCACACCCGTCCAGAACGGCGGTGGTCAGGGACCCCAGAGCTGTCCCGGGAGTGACGGGGGAGCCCGGGGCTGCTCAGCGAACTGCTGTTGGCAGAGATGAATTTACCCAAAACACGCGATGGCAAAAGTATCGCCAAACGAATCGAGCCATAGATCCCAAATCCGCCGGGCCGCGCTCGGCCAGGCGGGACTGAGCCGGGCAAGCCGGGGCCGGAGGGGATCCGTGCGGGCAGCGGGGACAGGTCGCACCGTGCCCGGCGTCCCACACCGCACACGTCTTGTGTGGAGTGAAAAAAAATGCGCTCACAGCCACATTTATTTACATCAAGTTCATATAATGACACACACACACGTATTTGAGCTACATAAATATATTAAATGTACATAAAACTGCTTTTTTGTAATATCACGTGCAGACAAAGCTGTGCATGAAGTGTCATCCAGCTGCAGAGCGGCTCTGGAGCTCCTGGGGTGGCCGTAACCACAGACCCGAGCGCAGGCGAGCCCGGGCGGGTGTCCGGAGCTGCTGCCCGGCTGCACCCCCGGCCCCGGGGTCGGCGATGCTCGCCCGGCTGCTGCTGAGCTCCGGTTTCTGGACTGTTTTGCCCCTCCGTTCTTGTTACTATTGGAAAACGTTGTTATCCATTAAATAATGTCCCCGCCGGCCCAAGCGCCGCTTTTCTGGGAGCGACCCCCTCGGGGTGCGACCCAAACCCCCTCGCTCCATTTTCGGAGGGGTCGCCGCTCGCTGCACTCCCACGCGTGTTCCCCCCGTGTTTCGCCCAGGAGCCCTCCCCGGACAGGTCATTCCTCCTCTTCTGGAAGGGTTCCTGTTGAAAAATCGTATTTAAAACAAACCAAAAAAGGCACAGGACCACCGCCACCACCGTGGGGCGGCTCTCGGGCTCACCCCCCCACTAATGACTGACGGCTGGTGCCACCGAGACAAATAAATACATCGTAAGGAGGGCAATGGGTCGCGAGTCGTTTTGGCCCTAAGGTGAGATTTAGCAATGACCGCCCATTAAAACGAGCTTTTCACTTTTCCTAGGGGTAGCCCCTACCCCCACCCGCTCCAGCAAGGGAAGCGGGGGAGCCTCCTGACCTGGTTTATAATTGTATTTAGGTTTGAGGGGTTTTTTTTCTCTTTGCTTTTTTAGATCGGAGACGGGAGAAATGAAAACCGGCTGAAAAAGGACTCGGGAAAACGGAGGAATAAAAAAGAGCCCCTCGAAAATCCGCCGGGAAGGCCAGGAATGGACAGCGAGGGAAAGCTGGAAAAACGCATTTCCAAGAAACCTGTGGAAAATAACCGCGAGAAACCCAGGAGCAGTGTCACGGCAGAAGGGACAGACAGAATCCTGCCGGAAGATCGCGGTGACATCCCCGAGGGAGCGCGGTGGCGGGGACCCCATTCCTGCAGCGGGACCTAAAACAGGACTCCAGGAAAGCCTGGAGAAACCCCTCCAGCTCCCTCCCTGCCGCCTCCTCCTGCCCCGAGAGCACTCCCGGTTTTACGGACCCGTCAGCCCAGCCCGAGGGATGCTCCCAGCGCTCCCGTTCTCCCGGCTCCCCCTTCCCCGGGGCCGCTCCGCTCCTACCTTCCCTGGAAGGAGCGGGTTCGGGAGAAAAGCACCACTGGCTTTTTCTCTCGGGCTTATTTCCTTGATAACTTTATTTTGTGAGTGGCGCTCGGGCGGCTTGAAAGGAAATAAAGCTTGGAAGGAGCTCGGAAAGAAGCCGGAGGCAGAGGGGAGCTGCCCCGGTGTCCGTGGGGTCGGGGCGGCTCCGCACAGCCCAGCCCGCTCGGTGCTGGTTTGGTTTTTATTTCAATGGGAAGGGTTTTATATGGGAGACTGAGGGAAAGCTTCTTTTGGTGAGACCAAGGTGAAATTCAGCAGGAATTATGGCCGCGGTTACCTGAGCTAAAGGTCGAACTCTGTTTCGGCTGAGAGCGTTTAGAAGTATAATAATTATTAAGCATTTATTCTAGAATAATCACATCATAAAAAGCAAGAAACCAAAGAAAGAAAGGAAAAAAAAAAAAAAGATGGGTTAGAAAAGGGAAAGCCCAAAGGTGGTGTCTGCGAGGCGGCTGCGGTGGAGCTCCCAGAAGGAGGGTGGCAGATGAGGAAAGCGCAGCCCCGGAGCCCCGGCCCGGCCTCGGGGCTCGCCCTGCCCGCAGCAGCCCCCGCGTCGGGGCGAGAGGATGGGGCCAGGAGCTCAAACACCGCCTCGGACGGCCACTTCCAGCTCAAGGGCTTCGCCCCGCCGTGTTTTTACACGCCTTAATTGTTCCCTAATAATGCGGGGTTTGGGGAGAAGCACGTGGGAAGTTTGGGGTTGGCTGGAAAAATAAAAAAAATCAAAACACCAAACCAAAAATGCCAACAACAAAAACCCCAAGGCATCACCCTCTGGGGCTGCCTCCCTGGGAACCGCTGGGTTTTTTCTCCCCACCCGCGACCAAAAAACTTCAGGTGCAAAGGGAGATGGTTTTGCGGCGGCTCAGGGCGCGGTGCGGAGCCAGAGCCGGGCTGGAATGTCCTGCCGGGGGTCTCTGCCTCCCCCGGGGCTGTCCGTCCGTGGGGACAGGGTGAGGGCTGGGGTTGCACCGTGCCCCGTGGGTTCCTCTCGAGGTGCCGGAGCAGGGAGGTTTCTCCCGCCCCGTTTCCCCCATCAGATGATCCCAGCCCCGCCGTCCCGGCGCCTCCAGCGCGGATCCGCCCGGCCGGCTGTCGCTGCCGGCCCGGGTGACAGCGACCGGGGGGGCAGCGGGGCGGTCCCCGCACGCTGCCAAGCGCCAGGGCCTCGAGGCAATCGCCTCATCGGCCCGTTTACCCTCCCGAGACGGCAAACAGCCGCTCCGTCCGTCCGTCCGTCCGTCCGGCTCTCAGCTGGGCAGGGCCGCGCTCCGGGCAGCCTCTGGCAGCGCCCCTCGCCCCGGGTGTGCCGGCAGGAGCCGGGGACTGTCCCCGCACAGCCACGGGCACGCTCAGGGCCTTGGGGTCCTCCCCATTTTGGGAAGCGCTCGTCCGAGAGCGGCCCCGACCCCGCTGCCCACCGGGCTCGGGCTCCCACCCGGGACGGCGTGTGCGCCCCTGCAGACACACGGCTGCTAAATTTCAAGCAACTCCTCTATATTTTTAATTTTCCCCCTTTTTTTTTTTCTCTTCCCTTCTCCCAAACTCTCTTTCTACCTTCCCAAAATCGTTTCCCGGTGCAATCCTGCAGCCCGAGGCGAGGGAGGAGGCGGGATGGTCCCTGCTTCCAAGATTTTTACGAACAATCGTTAAAGAAATCAAACTTTTTTTGTTGTCTTTTTTCTTTTTTTTTTTTTTTTTTTTTTTCTTCCCTTGAGCAGAGGCCGGAGAGGTCCCTTTGATCTGCGAGGCCTGGCGTGCTCCGAGCCCGCACGCCGGCTCTTTGCGGGGAGGGGGCTCGGCCGCCGCGGGAGCCTCCGAGCCGGGACATGAAAGGGGGGGAAAAAAAGAAAAAGCACCAAAAAAAAATCTAAAAAAAAAAAGGACGTCCAGGGTACGGGAGATCGACCGAAGGGCTTAAATATTTCATATTCCTGGAAGCTGTCAAGGCCAAAAACAACAACACGCCTCCCGCCTCCCCCGGAGTGTTTGCAGAGGGCAGGAGCGTGTGTGCGTGCGAGGGACCGGGAGGCTGCGGGGGGGCGGCGGGTAGAGAGGGTCATAAATTTTCACTTGTAATCAATCAATAATTAACTAATAGCGGAGCGTGGGCCGAGCGCGCCGGCGACAGCGGGTGCCCGGCCCGCCGGGGTGTCGGTGTCGCGCTGCCCCCCGGGCCGCGCTCCGGCTCCTTCTTCCCCGCTCCTTCCCCGCTCCATCCCCGCTTTCCCAGAGACTTTGGACTCGGGGCTCACCCTCCCGCGGGTCGAACGCAGCTCGGCTCCGAAGCAGCGCCTGCGGGAGCCGCGCCGCCCGCCCGGGGGGCAGGGTGGGGGGCGTGGGGTGCTGCCCCCCCCAGCACGCCCCGAGCCCCCCCGGGTTCGGGGCGCTCCGTGCCCCCTCCCGCGGGCCGCGGGTCCCTCCGGGGGTCTCGGGGCGCTGCTCGGGCTGCCCGGGAGGTGGCGCCGCCGCCCCGCCGGAGCCCCCCCGCCGCCGGCCACCCCCACCCAGCGCCGGGTCGCCTGCATCAGCCATAAAACCATTGAGGATATCAAGACAGGCGCCAGGTGAGTAATAGACAGGATAATCCACAGAGATTGCTCGCTGTTTACCTCCTTCCACAAGCGCCACAAGAGTTACTCATTAACGTTACTATATACAAATAAGATACACAGGAGATAAAGCCATTTGCAAGTCAGAGTTACACCTGCGGTACACGGATTTCTTGCAAGGGCACGGCGAGGGGGAGGTCAGCATTAGGCCCGTGCAAAAGGGGGGTTTGGAGCAATCAGGCTGCACCCTCAGCCTTAAAAAGGATAAATGGTGAGCTCGGGGGCTGCGGCGCCCCGGTGCCTGCCTGGTTTGCGGGGCTCAGGAAAGCGAGGTGGCAAGGGGGGCCTGGGGCTGGGGGTCTGTTGCTTTCCTCTTGACCATCAGCAGTGAATTCCTCGCCGACTAGGACATTTTCCCCACTCACACACAGATCAGAGCGGCTCTCCCCCTCCAGGAGCCGTCTGGGGGACCAGTAGCTGAGAGAGGGAAAAAAATTGAGGTCCCCGCGTGATTCCTGAAGGCAGAGGGATGGGGGCGAGGGGCCGGGGGTCTCTCATGCACCGGTGCCTCGGCGCTGCCGCTGAGGCCGGAGCTCAGCGCAGAGGGGAAAGCTGCTCCCCGGGCAGGGGTGGCTGTCCCGGGGCTCTGTCCCGCCCTGTCCCTCTGTCCCTCGGCACCGGACTCGCTCTCCGGAGCGGCTCCAGCTCCCACCCGTGTGGAGGATCCGTGTGGAAGGCGGCTGGTGGGGCTGCAGCCCCCGGGCTGCCCGCACAGCCGCTGCCGCCTTCTTCGCGTGGATTCTTTTTATTTTCATTTCTTTAGCCAGACCCGCCGCCACCTCTGTCCCTAAAAGCCCCTCCTCGGCCGGGCCAGCTCAGGGGAGCATCAGCTCGAGTGACATTTCCAGCAGCGTCACCTCGGGCCGTCCGAAGGTGGGGGAAGAGGGAGACAAAACCTCCTGCTCAGCCCAAACCTTTCTCGCGCTCAGACAGCGTGGATTTAAACAAAAACCCCATCCCCAAGCCGAAATGGGAAGGGTCCCGTTTCCCCACGAAGGGGAACAGTTTCATGTTCGTGGGGGAATTTTTCAATTAAAAAAATCGAGGGGGAAAAAAAATAAAAAGCCACAAATTCACGGCCACTTTTACCCCCTGGATCTCCCTTTATCTCGCCGGCGCAGGAGCCGGGGGCCGCGGGCCGAGGGGCAGGCAGAGCATAAAACAGGATACAGGCTGGAAGTACATCCTTATAATATTTATTACTGGTGGACGATGAATCGCTTTTCAATGCACGGGCCACTAACTGTTGAAGGGATGGGGGGGAAAAAAAATCTCATTAACAAGAAATATATATGTTGTGCTAAAGGATGTGCTCATGGACTGGCAGAGGTACAGCACGGGCTGCCAGCTCTCCTCTCTGTGACCTCCCAGGCCACCGGTCCAGCCTGGCTGTCTGTCCCCGTTCCAGCCGTTTTCCAGCTTAATCTCGATATATCATGAGCCTAAGGGAGAGAAGGGGCGATCCCAATAAAAGGGCGAAAAATAGATATTATTAAAAACCCCGCGTATTTCCAGGTGATAACTAACTGGGAAAGCCAAATCCTCTGCCCGGACGGGAGAGGAAAACGAGCCCAGCAGCAGCATCAACTCCTGAGCACTTTACCTGGAAACTTTGAAGGAGGGCTCTGCATTAAAATTTAACCGATCTATTCTCTAATTCTTCACTTTTGCGTTATTAATTTATGACAGATAAAAGCATAGCTGAGCCTTTCTCATTAACTTTTCAAACGCCACTTAATATTGTTCCATTAAAAGAGGTGACTTTAGTAGCCTCTGGATCGACTTTAAAAGCGAGAGGGATAAAGACGGAAAAGGTACATTAAACAGCTTGCTTAAACCTCGTCCTTCCCCCCCAACAATTCCAATGACACCATCTCGACTGGTTTGTACTAGCTCCTTGCGGGAGAAATATCTCAATATTGGGAACGGGAAAGGGGTGGAGGAGAAAGGCAGAAGAGGGATATATATCTTTCAACCCCTCCATCCTCCCAGGCACTTCGGGGAGGGTTGGGGTGAAGGCATTTCACAGTACGCCCAAGACATTTCAATAAAAATTTATTGAAACTTCAGTGACTTTTAAAAGGGGAGAAAAAAATTACAGAAAAAAAAGTAGCAAGAACTTCTCAACATTTATATAACACAAAATATACCTTCATTTTTTTTTTTCTTTGAACCAGCTCTGAGCACCTGACTTTCAACCCAAGAAAATATGCACTCACTCAAACAAAGACAACAATAAGCACAGTAGTGAAACTCCGTTGCGGGGTTGTTTCTGACTCACTGAGGAAACGGGCAAAAATAATATAAAGTACAGAAAATCCTAGAATCTTCACTTTTTTTTTTTTTCTCTCTCAAGCCACTGGAGAAGCCTGTTGTCGTGTATAAACATATATAATTTTGTGGTTGTTCACATTTTGGACACGGAAGAAATCGAGGATTAAAAGCTACCATGGCACACTGCTTCGTCTTTTTCTCTCTTTGATTTTTTTTAAGGTCTTTGGATAATTTGGTTTCTTTCTGCTTTGCCTTTTGTATTTGGCTCGTTGACCACAGGACGAGGTTTTCCTGGGCTGAGCTTTGATTAAAAACGGAGCCCTCACAAATGGGGGAATTTCTCCTCTGGGTCGGGATCTATGTTTAAAGGAATTACCAACTTGAAATGAAAACGACTAAAAATAAAAACAGAAGGAAAAAAAAGAAGACCGCTGCAGTCATATTTACAGAGATATGTACAATGTCAATAAATTAAAGTTTAATTTCGAGTATTCATATTCCACGTATTTACAAGAGTTATCAAATAATTACATAAATACTTTGTTTTAATAATAGTGTCCACTCTTTTCTTCTTCTCAGTATGTTAAACCTTGTTATTGCATATACAATTAAAGAGGGAAAGCTGTGATAAATCTACAGTCGAGCTACAGAGGTTTTTAGATAAAATAAATTCACTTTTTTTTTCTTTCCAACTACACGTCTTATTTTTGTTGCTACAAGGGAGGATGTTTAAGGTAGAGGGACAAAGGTCTTATTTTTGTTTTTATTATTATTAATAATAATTTTTCCCTGGGATTTGAAACGAGCATTAAAAATAAACAACAAAACCCCACTGAAATAAAAAATACCACCACCCCCCCCTCAAAAAAAAAAAAAAAAAAGCAGACTACTCTGGAACATGCAAAAAAAAGCCACCGACTGGCTCTCAGACATCACAATAATATTTTAAACACACAGCTTCCCTTAATATCGACTAAGGGGGTTGTGGTTAACAACCCGCCCAGGAAACAACTGTTGAAGAACCAATACGTGAGTTACTTACACGCTTTTCTTTCGCAGAGAAAAAAAATCACTTCTCTTACTTAATTTTTATTCAAAAGTTTGTTTCATTTTTTTTTGGTTGTTTTATTTTTTATTTTAGGTATTTTTTTCTTTCTTTTTTTTCTTTTTTTTCCCCCGGTGTGTTTTGGTTTTGGGTTTTATTTTTTTTTACACTGGTAAAAAAAGAAAATAAAAGGAGGATGCCACAAACCCCACCGGTGCCTCCAATCCCTGTGAGGAGCCTCCGACCCAGCGCTCCCCCATCCCCGACCCTTTTTTTCCCTACTCCACCTTTTTTTTTTGCTAAGCACGCACACAACACCGCGGGATTTTATATGTTAAAAAAATATACAGAAAGAGGGGAAAAAAATAAAATAAAGAAGGGGTAAAAACCAAACACTCGCGGGGTGGAGGATGTGGTTTCGTTCAAACAAAGTGCACTGCGAGACGGATTTGAAATGAGCTCCCGGAGGCCGGGGGGTTACGGGGAGCCGCTGCGCGATCTGTCCTGCTTGGGGTCGAGCCCGCTGACCAGGCGCTGGATGTTCTGCAGTTCGCTGGTGGCCGCCTCCTTGTCCGCGCCCAGCTTGGGGGACAGCGACACGGAGCCCGACGAGAGCGTGGAGGAGCGGCTGGTGAGGTCCGAGGCGGAGTCCAGGGGCACGGAGCCGGGGCTGCCGCCCAGCCCGCCCGCCTTGCCCTCGCCGGAGCCGGCGGCCAGGCCGGGCAGCGCCGTGCTGAGGAGGCCGCTGCCGTCCGCCAGGGGCACGGGCAGCGGGTACGGGCTGTAGCGGAGCCGCGGCCGCACGGCGCTCAGGAACGGGTGCCGGTGCACCGAGCTGGAAGCGGCGCTGGAGGCGGCGGCCGCCGCCGCCATGTAGGTGTAGGGGTAGGGGAAAAGGCTGCCGAAGGGAGACATGGCCAGGCCCTGCGGGAGGGGAGGAGAGAGAGCAAAGGGTTACCGGCGCGCTCACCGCACCCCCGCGCCAGGTGCTCCCCCGCGCTGCCGGCGGGATGGAGAGCTGTCCTCCCGCTGCCCAAAAACACGTGGGTGACGGGGCACACCCTGCCCGGGCTCTGCCCTGCACGGCCCCGCTCCCGCCGGGCCCATCGGGGGCCGAATGGCCGCGGGGTCTCTCCCCCAGTGTCCCCCCCGCTGGGGCAAGCGCCCTTTTCCCGCAGGTCCAGCCCCGCTCCCGCTCCGCAGGGCAGCCCCGGGCACACCCCCGACAGCGGCTCCGCTCCGCAGGCCGGGACGCGCCCCGGGGCTCTGGAGGACAGCGGGGAGGGTGGGAGAGCTCAGGGAGATCACGCTGGGCCACCCTCCCCGCCCACAGCTTTCCCTCCTCCGACCTGCTGCCAAGCCCTGGACCGGCCCCTGAGAGGGGCACTGGGGGGACACCGACGCGGGGAATTTAAAGGAGGTGCCCGCTGCCCCCCAATCCCGTCCCCAGGCTCGGAGCCCCGGCCCGGGGGAACGCAGTACCTGCGAGGCCAGGACGTGCTGCTGCAGATGGAAAGGCAACGCGGCCGCCGATGCTCCCGAGAGTCCCTGGGCCGCCGCCGTGGCCATGACCGTGTTGTCCAGTCCCGAGACCCCGGCGGACGCCCCGGAGACGGTGGCGAGGAGGGGCCCCATGCCCGCGGCCATGCCCGAGAAGGCTCCCCCCATGGCGAACTGCCCGGGGTGCAGCAGCAGCGGGTGCCCGTTCCCCAGCGGGTTGAAGAACTGCTGGCCGGCCAGGGCAGGGGGGAAGCCGAGGTTCTGCAAGTGTCCCTGGCTCAGGTGGGCCGTGCTGTCGGTTTGGACCGTCAGGGGGGTGAAGGGCTCTTTGCCCAGCAGTCGGTTCTCATCTACTTTGGGGCCATCCCTCAGGGGGCTTTTCAGTTCCTCGCCGCTCAGGCTTCCCCCCCGGGTGCTGGAGGAGATGGTAGCCGGGCTGTGCCGGGAGTCCGGAGGGGCTTTCTCAGTCCTCTCTCGGCTCCGACTCCCTGCCGAGTCCCCAGGGAAGAAGTGGCTTTTGGAGGGGCTGCCGCCCTTGTCCCGGGGGTCGTCCCCCGCGGTGGCAGCGGAGCTGGCCGGCGCTGGGGTGGCGGCGGTGGTCGTGCTGATTTTGCCCGACTCGTTTCCTTCTAGCAAGGGATCGTCTTTGCTGTCTGCATCGCTGTCTCCCTCGCTGGGGCAGAGATCTGCAAGACAAAGGGGGCCCGGGGCTGGGATCCGGCACTGCACATCCCGAAATCCCCACCGGGCTGGGAGAGGGGGCAGAGACGCTTCCTGGCCGGCCAGAGGTTTGTGTGGAAATACTTCCCTTTCTTTATTATTATATAAATAAATACAGCCCCCGGCTCCCACCGCCCGCCCCGTCCGAGCCAGCCCGAGTTTTACACAACGCAGCAAAATTGGCTGCGAAACAAAGCAGCGACCCAGAGGAGCGACCCCCCAGCCGGGCGGGCCCGGGGCCAGCGGCTCCGCTCCCCGGGGCTCCCCGGGGCTGCCGGAGCCCCCAGGGACCCCCCTTCCCTCCCTGGCTGCAGCGGGGGTACAGGAGGAACGGGAGAGCAGCAACCTCGGGACGGGGCTGAAGGGCCTTGGGGATGAGTCTCCTGCTAAGTTTTCCAAAGTTTTCATCCCTTTCAACGGGCAAACTTTGCAAACGCACGCAGAGACACCCGCAGCCGTCTTCATCACCCCCCGGGCCCCCCTTCTCCCCCAGCACATGCACGGCTTCGCTGGATTCCTCTGTACTTCATCTCCTAATTTCAGCGCCCCAGGTGCGAAGCTCTGCTTTGCTTTTCGGGTCCCCTCCCAGCTCCCCTCCCCTCAGCTCGGCAGGCCTTTTGAAAAAAAAACGAGTAAAGCAACTACAAAAAAGAGGTTGTTTCCTCCTCCCCCTGCCCCCCCGGCCCGGGATGGATTAATACATACGAGAGAGCTGCAGACAGCTCCCAACCCCGCGCCGAGAAACCCAGGGTGACTTTTCTATAACAAAGTTCGCGACTGTATCCAGGGGAAAGATCCTTCCTCTAGTAACAGATTCAGTGAGGGATATTAATGGAGTGGCTCCAGTTTTGAACTTTTGCCCCGTGGTCTGTCTTTGCTCCCTTGACTCGGAGCTGGCTCCTTTCTGAACCAAGGAGGGGAGGGATGAATGTGCGGCAAGGGGAGAGGGAGGCCGGGGGGAGAGGGAGAAGGAGAGGAAGAGTGAGGAAGGCAGAGAGAGGAGAGTGAGGGGGAGAAGGGAGGAGAGGGAAAGACAAAAAGAAAGGAAACAAGAAGAAGAGTGAGGGCAAGAAGGAAAGAGGGGGCAGAAAAACTAAAGAAAGAAAGAACAGAGAGAGCAAAGCATGAGAAAAGAGGGGAAGAGGTAGGAAGCAAGGCAAGAGGGAAGGCAAGAAGGAAGGAAGGAAAACAGGCCAGTGCCAGAGGGCAGTGGTACAGGCCAGCATTTGCCACCACAGAGCGGGCACCCAGGCTCTCCCAGAGGACAGCAGGGGCCACAGCTCTCACCTTTGAGGCTGGAGGTGCCCACGGCAGGCACGGCAGGACAGGAGGACTGGGCAAAGCACTTGAAGGCCGTCTGCTCATTGGACGACTCGTCCGAGGTGGGATTCTCCTTCTTCTGCCTCTCGTCATAGACCCGCATGGACTGCAGGGTCAGCTGCTTCCTGCGGGCACAGAACCCGCTGGGCGAGGGTCCCAGAGCCCCCCGGGACCCCCCCGCTCCCCAGCCCCTCCTGCAGCTCCCACCGGGGCACAGGGGAATGAAGAGCCACGGTCCCCTCGAGGAGGAGAGCGTTTCTGGCACGCAGGGCTTGGCTGCTAATGAGAGGAGATTTCTTGGAAGCTGAGCAGCTCCTCAGCGAGGGCTGATATTAAAGACAAGGGGCGGAGGGGAGAGGGAAGCATTCCCTGGAGATTAGCTTTTAAAAGGCAAGGATGTTCCAGAGATATGAGCCATCTTAATGGTTGCTAAGATTGCTAGGAAGTGGTTATTTTGTTAGGCACTTTATGTAATCTTTTCACCAACAATTAACCCGGAGTAAAAAATCTATTTATATTTAGAGAAATTAGAAATCATTTCCGTCCTGTGGCTCCAGCGCTGGCTTTATTTTCACACTGATGGACAAGAGGAGCTGGCGTGTGCATGTTTGTGTGTGTGCTGGGCAGGGAGAGAGGCTTCTTGGTTTACACCACGTCCCCCCCACCTTTTTATTTTGTTGTTTGTTTGAAAAAAAGGAGAAACAGATCTATTTATTCGTTATCTAACCCCCAGTGCAAATGGCTAAAATATCCTGTCTCCTGTAACACAACAAAACAGACATATGCCCCATTAAAGGAAAAAAAATCTTGCCTTTTTTCCCTTTGTATTTTCTTTTTATATTAAAAATAAAAGTCTTGAGTCCCATTATAATGAGTTCTGTCTGCCTACCTGGGGCACAAACTCTGTCCTGCTGCTTTTGGGAAAAATAAAGAAACTTCTATCATTAATTACTTCCATATTAATGAGATACCTCTGTCCAAACAGTTTATTTCTGTGTTTCTGCTCCATTTCTGTGTTTATTTCTGTGTTTCTCCTCCATTTTACTCTTTTCCAGGCCGTCCCCAGAAAAATGCCAGAGGAGATTCAAGCAGCGCTCAGCCCTCGCTTGTCCCTCTTCTCCAGTCCCAGATCCAAACTACACTGTAACATTCCCTCTCAAATCTGTAAGGGAAAGCTTTTTTCTAGCAATATTTGCTCAATGCACTGCACTCCCTTTGGCCAGTCATCCCCTGTGACGTGAAAACGAAACGCGGAAAGCAGGAAAGAATTCCCATGCAATCCGTTTGACGCTATTAACGCCAAGATCCTTATGGATTTTGGCGGGGGGAAGTGTGGTTTGGAGGCAAGGCAAGGTGATTTTGACCTCTGCTCGTGTTCTGAGCTTAACACATGAAAACCAAACGAGGCGCCTGTAAAGCATCGAGCCAGACTCACCTCTTTTCCCTCCTTCCATTCCCGGTGTCCCGAAAACCTTTGGCAAAGGGGTTGTTGTCAATTTTTAATTGCGTGATCTATAGGATAGAGAGAAGAAAAAAAATAGCCAGGGGGTTGGGGCAGAATAAGGCGATTTTTGTACTATAAAACAACAGCAAACCCCACTCTTCCCAGTTCCCCTAGTGCTGGCAGGAGGAGGACAGGGCAGGGGGCAAAGGTCCCTGGATTTTGGGTGAATCCATGTGTTTTCCCGAGCTGTTTGGAGGCAGCTCGCCCCCAGTCCCCCGCCGGGCTGGCCGGTGACCCGGACCGTGGTGGCAATGAAAGAGCCCCGTGTTGCTGCCACCACATCGGAATTAATTGAGCCGTGCAATGAGATCCATGCAAGTTATGCCTGCGCTTAAAACTCTTTAAATACCATAATTAAACCGCAAAGGAATCATGCCCACCCCCTTGCTATAATAAAATACTTTATATAATCGCATTATGCTCCGTGTGTGTTGGGGCGCCAGGGGTGCCAGGAGCCAGTTCGTATTTTTTGGGGGGTTGCGCGTGGAAGTTTCTCGGTTTGGGTTTCCTCGGGGCTCGGGTTATGGCAGGGAATGGCGGTGGGAGGGATGGGAGGTGCGGGACATCCCGCACGATGCGCGGAGCCGAACCCAGAGCCCGGCCGGGGCTCACCCCGCTGGGGCAGGATGCGAGCAGGGGGAACGGGAACGGGAACGCCGCCTCCCCGCCGCTCCGTTCCCGCTCTCGGGCCGGGCTGCAAGCACAGCGACCCCCCAATTTAGGAGCACAGGATGACCCCCAAAAGGAAACCCCTCCTGGCCCGAGTGCGGGCAGGAGCAGCCCGGGCTGCCGAGTCCCCCCCCGCCGCACACACGGGAGCAGGGGGGAGCAGGAGGGAGCAGGAGGGAGCAGGGGGGAGCAGGAGGGAGCAGGAGGGAGCAGGAAAACCCCACTGCTAAAACCAGCGGGACTTTTAACCCAGGTGCTCCCGGCCGTGCCTTCTGCTCCCCCCGCGCCGAGCCGAGGGCTCCCCGCCGCTTCCGCACGCCGCTTCCCAGCCGATTTCATGGCAATCACACAACTATGCTCATTTGTGCCCTTCAACCCAGCCGCCCCCAGCTGATAGAGCGGGCCGGCCAGCCCTGCTGATAAGTCCCAAAGCAAAGTCTACTCCCTCTACACCCATTTTCTTTCAGTTTCCTTGCAAGTGCCTGGCTGCGGAGAGAGAGGGAAATAGCCCGAGCCCCGAGGGGGAAGCGGTTTTTTGGAAACCGAGGGCAGAAGGGTACGGACCCTCTCTTTTCACCCCCGAATTTTTTACTGTGGAGGGTGTGAGGGGCAGAGAGGGCACAGGGGAGCTCAGCGAGCGGCGCTGCGCATCCAGAGCCTCTGCGCTCAACGCGGGCGAACGCAAAGTTGTAATTCACAGACAACAAAAAAAATCAAAGCCCCGTTTTTGGCTCCTTCGCTCCCTTCCACTTGACTTAATAATCGTAAATTCGCCGTTTGCCACTCTCCCAAATATACCACCTTCATCGCAAGCGACAATAAACCAGCAGCAAGGGAAAGGCAGCGTTTGCAGCGCTGCAAAACTTTCTCACACGGGCTTTTTCAGCCCTTCCAGCTAAATTCAAGCGAGATACCCCTCTCTGACCAGAGCATATTTCTGCACCACAAAAAATAATAAAACACTGCAGGATGCAAAAAAAAATATCATAATATAATAATAATAGGAACCAGACGTGCGCTCCAGCCTTATTGCCAATTGCTGTTAAAGGAGCTAAAACAGCACAAAGGCCAGGAAGAATTACAAAATCTCAGCCCGCTGCTCTCCCCACTCTGTCTTTCGACACACGGAGCTGAGTCTTTTTGATTAATTTTTTTTTTCCCCTGATGCATCCTAGATTGAATCCACACTAAGAGCAGCAAACCCCACCCCATCCCTTTCCTCATGTTGGGGAGATACACCGGGGGAAAAAAAATGGTAGAAAACCTTTAAACATTCTCCCCCTCACTCCCTGTCCTCCCTCCTTTTAATTGCCTTCCCCGAGGTCGGTATTAGGAGAGTGCTCGACCCCCTCCCCCAGCGCCTTCCCCCAAGTTGGATCAAGGAGGTTTTGGGGCAAAAGATGAAGGGGGAGAGAGAGAGAAGAGCGGGATGGGCTTCGTGAGTTTTAAGGGAACAATGCAGAGTAAAAGTTCTCTTAAAAGCCAAAACACGTAAAACAAATCCTCTCTTAATCTCCTTACCTTATCATTCTGGTATGCGGTCACTGCGATGAATTCAGTCTCCGGGAAAACGTAGGTCCTGAACGTGCTGTAGGGGAGCTTGAGGATATCGTTGGCTCGGACGATGTGGAACCGGGGCTGGTACTTGTGCATGGAGTTTAAAATGGTCTGGGGGGGCAGCGGCCGGCACAGAGAGGGCAGGAGGGGGGAAAGAAGACGGTCAGCAGGAGCAGCATTTCCCCCAGCCATCGGCACTTTCTCCTCCTAATTTGCCTTCCCTCTCCTTCCTCCCCTCACTCCTCCTCCCCGCCAAGCACACTCCAAACACACGCACACGCCTCGCAGCATCCAGCTAAAAGTACTGACAGCTCCAGCTCGCCGGGGTGAGGCTCTCGCTGGACCTCTCGAAGGAGAGGACAGAGGGGGGAATCTCCTCAGAGCTCTGCTCGGGGAGGGGGACAAGCTCTTTGGGCTCCGCAGCAATGTTTCTTGATTTCAAAGTGTAAAAAAAATAAAATAAAATAAAATCAAGTAAAGCAGTAGCAGCAGCTACAGTTGCAACACCAGCAGCAATGTCTCTTGATTTCAAAGTGTAAATAAAATAAAATAAAATAAAATAAAATCAAGTAAAGCAGTAGCAGCAGCTACAGTTGCAACACCACCACGAGACCTCGGCTCGGTCTAATTGCGTGCCCCAATTCACTTAAGGCCTTCTGCGAACGGCAAAAATGTATCGTCTAATCAAATCACAGCAGCAAATGCAATCTTCGGCACATTAGAGATCCCCGGCCGCGGCCACCACCAGCAAGCCCCGGCTCCGAGGTGGAGGCTTTCCCAGGAATAGAAAGAAATGGCCAGGATCGACAGAGCACTTATCAGCAGGTTTGTTTGATTTCACTCTCAGGGTAAGTTTTTATCTCTGCACACCCGGTAAATGTAAAGGAGTGGATAGACATGAATGGGCAACTTGACCTCTGCTTTTGGTCCCTGTTTATTTTCACTCCGGCTTGCTTTACATTATCCAGATTAATATAGATTTAAACGTTTGCGTACTTAGGCCTTTAAGCCCTTTATACACATATGCATATCGTTTTCATACGCTTAGAAAGTGTGATCGACTTTATTAAAAATATATATAGATATATAAAGTCACCGCAGCTCTGAGAAATATCGAGTTGCGCTGCGCTGGAAATGTATCCCTAAAGTTAACGCTGCATGGCACGGGGAGGTTACAGAGCAAACTCCAGGCTTTCATCCTGACCCCAGCGGGAGGAAAAATCAAGGGCTGTTCTAACCCGGACAGATGGCCGTCCCCGGGTGCGTGGGGAGCTCTTCCTGCCCCGTTTTCCCCGAATTTCGGGCGCCCGCCGGAGCTGCCAGCGGGACCGGCCCGGCCGAGCGGCCGCCGCGCTCCGGGCACACCCCCCGGGACCCCCCGCTCCGAGGGAGGGGAAAAGGGGGGCAAAGGAAGGTGTAAAAGGCACTCACAAATCCGTGCTTGTCAGAGATGTTGTTAGTGAGCTTCAGCTTGTGAAAGGTGACGACTTTGGACATCCATTGTTCGCCGGTGGCCGGGCTGTCCGGGTGGATGTACATTCTCTTTGGCATTTCAGGGTCAGCCTTGCCGGCTACCATCCACCGGGAATTATGGAATTTGTACCTACAATCATCAGCCGCCACAATATCCATCAATAAAATGTACTTGGCCTTTTTATCCAGTCCAGTGCATCTCACTTTAAATGGAGGAAACATTCTCCTATGGGCAGAGGAGGGAGGGAGGAAGTGGGGGGAGAAAAGACAAGAGAAAAATAAAATTAAATTAATTACAGCGTTTAAATAAGCTTCTGAATTTTGGTAGCGTGTCTACTAAGCAATTTCTTCAGCTCTCAAAAGCAGCAGAGTAAGTCTGTATCCAGCAAAAAAGGTTTCCTCTCCTCCCCCCTCCCCACCCCCCCGCCCCCAGCGAAAAGGTTTCTCAAATGCTTAAAAGTTGCAGGAGAAAATGGTCCCTGGATGGGAAAGGTACGCATTCCCTAGAAATCAGCAGGCGCCTACCTCTCTCTGCCATTCCTAAACAGCAAAGGCCCATTTGGGGCTCTCTGATCTCTCATTAGTTTCCTTTTTGCCTGCTAAACAAAGAAATGGGAGCTGATCGCACCCCGATAAAACAAAACGTCTGAACTATTACAACGCAGCCTCCCGATAAAGTGCGGAGTTTTACACCTCGCAGACGAGAATAAAAATCCCCCAGCGAGGGCAGCGTGGCTGCCGGGGCTCTCCCCGGGCTCCGGCCAGCCGGGGATCCCCCGTGTGCCGAGGGCTCTCTGCAAACCCCGCTCCCAGCTCCGGCTCCAAACTGCAACAGGATACCACAAATTTGCTGTTTATTATATCGAGTGGTTGGCATTCAGCAAATCTCAACTTAAAAGGAAACACATGACTTTGCAACATGTAAGAGCTCTTAATACTGGCCGAGGCTTTCACGCAAAAACTTTTGACCACAATTAACAGAAAAAACTTTGGGAAAGCAGTAAAACGGGCAAGGAGAATTTTTTTTTTCTCCTTGCTGCTTTTAGGGCTTCTATTTATTTATTTTTTCTCCTGAGCCTGTAGCCTGCAACTGGTGCTTTGCAAACAGGCGAAGCTCCAGCAAGGCAGCTGAAGGCCATCTAAGAAGACTTTTCAGGAGTGGCTTCCTCGAGTAATTCTCCTGGCAAATCACAAGTGGAGAGTTTGGGAGGTTTCTCAGAGAGCCCCTTAGAAAAACACCCGGGTGCAAAGGAGGTTTTCACCCTACGAATCATCACAGCAATGGGTAGAGTTGTAAAAGAGTCCAGATGTCAATGAGTAGCGAATATAGAGAGAGATTTCAGACGGGTAAACCTATAAAAAGCAGAAATGCCGAGCGTGGACGCGCCGTGTGTGTTCATTCATTCCCACGTGAAGGTTACATAAATATAGGGACAGGCAGCTCGGAGCTGCAAACCCTTCCCTGCCACTCCAGCAGCGGCTGCAGGACGGCTGGGGAGTTTTGTCAGCTTTTCTGTACATTTTCAGACATAACCAGGCAGCACAAACCCAGCCGAGATCCCAGCACAGCCTGACACACCGAGCCTGTCTGCCCTCCTGCCCCACCAGCAGCCAGGCGCCTCTCCGAAGGATTTTTCCTTCATTCCCCTTTCTTAAGGAAGAAAAACTGCGTGTAGCGAGGCTGAAAACCAGGCCATCCCCTTTGCCAACCCCAAATGATTTTCTTCCTGCTCCGAGTGTTCTCCAGCAGGCATTAAGCTACTGAACCATGAAGGGACCCTCTCAGCCCCTGCACACGCACATGCTGAGCAGGGCCGGGTCGCGCTTGGGCTTTTCCCGGAGCCTGGAGCCCCAGACGGGCTCGGATCTTCAGCTGCCTAAAGCTTCCCATAATTGCAGGTGAAAGGAGATTTAGGGAGGAAAGCGCCGGAGAGAGAGCCCTGCCCCGGCGGGGTGCAGAGACTGAGGGCTGGGGGATTGCGGGGGGAGAAAGGCACGAACCCCAGACCCAGACCTACCTTCCCGATTTGGTAATCACCATCTCCGTGCCTCTTTTATGGAATTGCTCCCAAAGCTCTTTAGCTTCCAGATGCACTTTCGGATCGTCTTCTACCTCCTCTTCTGGCTCCAGAGTTTTTAAAGGCCTCAGATGGGCTGCTGCCTGGTGACCCAGGGAAGAGAAGGGAATACCAGTCTCTGCAGCCCCCACTAACTGATCCATGATGGGTTTAGCCAGAGCCCCGGGAAGGGAGAGGGCGGCTGCCCCGTTGGGAGGCAAAGCCAGAGCCGGGAAGAAGGGAGGCTGATGTCCCAGCACGGCGCTCATGGCAAAGTCCGGTGCCCGGTGCGGTAAAAAGGGATGATAAGCCATGCTTGTCCCAGGGATTACTGGATCTCTCATCGGTAAATTCATCCACTCCACTCCTCGGTCTTCCTACTGCTGGAGTAGTCCCGGAGTGGTTTCTAACAGCACATCACGAAGAAGAAAAATTAAGAGAATAATAATAACAGCAATAAAGCACCAAAAAAAAAAAAAAATTAAAAAAAAAAAGGGTTGGGGGAAACAAGCTCTAAACGGCACAGTACATGAGGGAGAGGCAGAACTTCTACAGCCTACAACTTCCCGAGCCGGGGCACATCCCCAGCCCTCGGGACAGCGGATTAACAGGATTGTTCATTATTAGTCTTGCTTTTTCTCGTGCTCGCTCTCAGAGGCTTTGGTTTGCTTTTTAGTTGTTCGCGTTTTTTTCCTGAGTGGAAGTCCTTGTGCTGGAAAAGAAACGCCGAAGAAGGGAAGAAAAAAAATCCACCGGGTTCGCTGTCTGCTCCTGTTGCCGCAGAAGAGCTGGACAAGCCGAAATCCTTTTTTTTTCTTCTTCTTCTTTTTTTCTCTTAGTCCCAATCCCCCTTCTCTTCTTCCGTGGCGGAGGGTGACGGCTCGAAGCTGGGTTTTCTTTTTGGGTGGCTGGCTCTCTTCCCCCTCCCCCCCACCCCTCCACCTTTCCTCCGTACGGTCAGGCTGCAGAGCAGAGGCTGTGGAAGGAGGGAAAGCAGAAAGAAGCAAACAAACCCACCCCCCCTCGCCGGCCGAGGAAGGCTCCTGAGCAACCTTCAGCAGCAAAAACTTGTAGGGAAATCTCGTTTCCGCCTCGCCTTCCTCACTCCCCAAGCAGGAGCTGGTCAGGGTGTCCTGATTTCCATCAGGATCTCTTCTTTCTTTCACCCTCCTCCTCTTTTTTTTTTTTTTAATTTATTTTCCCCCTCTCTTTCTCTTTCGCTGTGCCTTAAAAAAAATCTGGCAGAATTATACTGTTGTCTCCATAAAGGAGAGAGAAAGTGAGAGGGAAAGAGAAAGGAAGAGAAAAAAGGGGGAGGGAGAAAGAGAGGAAAAGAGAAAGAGAGAGAAGAGAGAGGGAGAAGGAGCCTCTCGGCTCTGAGAATTCCCTGTGAGTCTGTGCTCTGCGTGCACCCGATCGTAGGGATGTGTTGTGGGTTACAGGGGAGCTGGAGCCGCCTTGATTGGCTCTTTGACGCTTTCGGACCAATTGTGAGGCTCCATAGGCGGGGTTCTGACAGCTCGGGTGGAGGGGGACAGCGCCGAGTTATAAAAAGAAGGTGTCGGAAACTGTAACGCTGCAGCAAAGCATCACTAGTACTTGGGGCCGTGTGAATATGTCAACATGATCAGAGGGGAGGGAGCAGGCAGGGAGGAGGGAAGGGGCCGGCAGCGCCCGCCTCTAGGGGGGTGCTGGGGCCGCCTCGCCCCCCGGCCCCGGCAGCCCGGGCGCTGCCCGCCCGCTCTCCCCGGCAGGAGCTTCCCGAGCGCCGGCAGCGGGGGGGGCTCCACGCCTGGCCGTGGGGGGGTCCGGAGCTGCCTTCCCCCCTTCCCCAAACGCCGCCGGTACCGTAGCGGGGTCCCCCCGTGTCCCCCCCGGCCCGGAGCCGCCTCGGGAGGCCGCCCGCCCGTCCCCGCCGCTCCCCGCAGCCGCCGCCGCCGCCTTGGTGTCACCCTCCCTCCCCGGCCGCCGCCGCTGCCCCCGCGCCCTCTCTCCGCTCCCCGGCGAAGTTGCTTTCTGTAAACGGCACCTCCGGGCCGGGAGCCGGGCGCTTTCCTTCCCCCCGCGGGTCTGGGCTGAGCTGCGGGCTCGGGGGTGGCTCTGCCCCTGCTCGCAGCTCGGCTCCGGCGGCCGCGGCCGCCCTCATCATTGTTGTGGTGGGCGGCTGGAGGCTCAGCCCCGGCCCCGGCGGCCGCCGATGGAGGCGGGTGCGCGCAGGGAAGCGGGAGGCCGCTGGAAAATGGCATTTTAATGTATTTATTATTCCTTCTTTCTTTCTTTCTTTGGCGTTGCCGATTAAGGCCACTCGGCTGGCACCGGCGCCGACAGGGTTACGCTCCCACACCCCTCCTCTTCCACGAGGTGCGCGGGGAGGAGACGGGAAGTGCGGCTTTCCCTGCGCCCGGGCCGGGGCAGCGCCGGGCGGGGGGGCCAGCTCCGGGTGAAGCCGGGCTCGCGTGGAGCCTGACACCCCCCGGGGAAGCGTCACGCGTGGGTCTGATCCGACCCCACGGAGAGGGAAGAGCCGGGCAGGATCCTCCTGGGAAGTTTCGGGGGAGATCTGTTCCTTTGGGGGGGCGGATGTGGGTGGGTATGGGTGTGCGACAGTGCAGGGCAGCCAAGGGGGCTTGTGACTGTGCGTGTCGTGGGCATGCAGGGCACGGAGCGCCCACGCGTGTCGGGCAGGGTATCCCAGCGCTGGGAGGTGCCGAATCGCTACCCTGCCCTGGGGAGAATCTCCTGACGCCCCCCACCCTGCTTTAAACAGGGCAGGATAATCCTCCGGGAGCGGAGCGGGGGAGCGCGGGGGCTCGGCGCTGGCTGCGCGCAGATGGGAGCGGAACCTCTAAAGTGATTAGCTCTTCTAACATTGCATTTTTGACGCACATGGTTAAGAGCGCTTGGCGCCAGCTTGGTGAAGTCCCTGTAGTAACCAGCGTCTAGGATCGCTTTGCATTCACCAAAATATCTCCCCTTTAGTCGGGGGTGGGGGTGAAAAGAGGAGGAGGGAGGAAAGGAAGCGGGAGTAATGCGTTCAAAGAGGATGAGGGGGGGGAAGTCTGATGTGTTTCACGAAGCCAGGAGCCTGGTTACCCGCGCAGCGCTCGGCTGCGCTGTGCGGCTGCTTATCGACCAAGAGAGAGCGAGTCTTTCCAATCTCTGCTCGGAACCGGTTCTCGGGCTCCGGCCGCGGTGGGAACCCCCAAAGCCCGTACGCCTTCCCTTTATCAGCGTCCACAGCAAACGCCCGGCGGCCTCAAGAAGTTTGCTGCAATGTACCCCAACCGGGCCGCCGCTGTCTCACGGCGACCGGGAGGTGCCCGCGGGACAAGCGCTGCCGCCCCCGGCCCCGCCGCGCCCCGCGCCCCGCGCCCGCCCCGCCGGAGCGCGCCCTCGGCGCCGCGGCGCGAACCGGAGCCGCTGCCGCCCTCCGCGCCCGCCCCGCACCTTGCGCCGCGCTCCGCACCCACCCGCGCAAGAAAATAAAATGTTTGCCGCTTATGATTTCCAATTCCAGCGTCTGGCTAATGGCGTGCAAACTTCCGCCAGTTCCGAGTGACCTCCCCGACGAAGCCCCCCGGAGACTCGTATTATGAAGGGAGGCTGCACTAATCTAAGATCAAAAGCGGGAAGGTGCGAACAGTCTTTGTCTCCCTTCGGCCGCCTCATTCCCCCTTCTGTGTGTGATAAATCTACCCTGGCGCCGACTGCGCGCTGGATGATTAATTTGCAAGCAAACAAAAGGGACCTGATGGCCAGCCATCTTAGTTAAATATTGGCCAGTGCTTCCAGCTACTTGTTAGCCTCCTCTTTGCCTGAAATAAATAAGCGGGGCGCAGAAGTAAATAAATAAGGAGAGCCGCAGAAATGAATGACAAAGCGAAGGGATGGTACGGGAGTAAGGGAAAAAAAAAAAAAAAAGAAGAAAAAGAGATCAGGGTGGCTGACGGTGAAGCGGGAGCGGGTGGAGGTGGGAATGGGTCTGGTGGAGGGGGGAGCCAGGGTGATAGCACGCTGAGATAGCCGGCTGCCCCCGCGCCTCCCGGCCTGTCTGCAGCCTGGGCTTGCACCAAGGCCGACACTATCTTGGCTCTTCAAAGAGGCATGAAAGGTCTCTGCTGTCTCCCCGGAGAGCGGCCAGGCCGGGGCTCTCTAATCTCGGAGCACAAGAGCTAAAGGCCAGGGCAGGGGGAGCGGCTCCCACCCTCCCCAGCTCTTCTTCACTCCACCATCGCCAGCACCTCGATGGGTTTTCCCCGGCTGAATCCAGACCCCGGGTCTGTGGTGGCTGAGCGGCTGGGAGAGCTCCGCTTGCTCGGATTTCACCCTCCTAAGCAACTTTTAGCGTTTGCACGAGAGCTCGGCGCTGCAGCGAGCATTCCCCGTGCGTATGTGTTGGAGGTGTGGGAGGAGAGAGGCTTTGGCTCTCTCCCGGTGGCCTGAGGAGCCAGCTGGAGGAAGGAGGCAAGAGGAAAATAAAGGCAGCCCGGCTTTCGGGCCCACACGTCCTCTCCCAGGCCTGCGGGAGCAGCTCCGAGGCGTGTGTGCGTGCGTGGAGGGGCTGTGGGAGCTCCACGGCCTCTGCGGAGATGCTGCGCCGTGGGTGTGTGGCACCGCAAGGGATTCGTGCCCTGGGGCACTCCCCGCTCCGACAGCAGCCCCTGAGGTGTCCCTGACACCCCCTCCATGCGCCGGCTGCTCTGCAGGAAAGAACAAGCCTCGGTGCATGGTGAGCAGGGCCAACGTGCACAGCCCAAGTGGGGTTTTGCATCCTATCTATGCATTTCCTTATCGCGCTGCCTGTTCCAAGCATCCCCAGGGGCCCAGACCCATCCTGCCTGCCAGCAGCTCTGCATCCTGCAGGATTTATCCCTCTCCTCCCTCCCTTTCCCACGGCGATGCAACCTCTGCTCCGTCTCCAGCCCTTCAGGAGGCACCACCCCGGCGTGGCCACGCTGTGTTTATCCGAAATAAAACGCAGCAGGCTGGTTTACTTTGGCAGGTTTGCAGTAAATACTGGCAGGAGCACGGGGGGCATCTGGGGAGTGGTGATTACACGCTTCTTCCGAGGGAAAGTGTGCCCAGCCCCGGGCAGGCCCTTCCCCAGCCCCACAAAGGTGTCAGGACATGGGGGCCGTGTTGACACAGATCCATCCCGGAGTGGCACTGCAGGCCACAAGTGTAATGGAGCAGCTCCCTCAGGGAGCTCGTCTATACCCCTGGATTATACAAACTGCCATGGGGAGAGTGGGGAATCGCTGCAGCAGTTCTTTGCCTTGCCCTTTGGCAGAACACTTCCTCCAGTTGCAAATTGGATTTCATGGAAAGCCTGGCCCAAAAACTTTAAAAACCAACCTGCCAGAGTCTAAAAAAAGCATTGTGAGGCATTAAAAATACCAAGAATTAAATCCCCCACGTCTCTCTCTAAGCAGGCTCAGCCCCATCGTGTCCCACTGCAGTCAAAGAGGCCGTTCCCATCTCTGTGAACAGAAGATCCCCCAGCAGGGGGATCAGGCCCCCTTCCCAACACAGCCAAGGTGAGGGCT